GAAATGTTACGCCCCTTACCATACTGTGTTTCCATCATACAGTCTATGGTTTCCATGTGTCCGGCGCAACGAGACAAAAACATTAAAACCCATTATAAACGAGGCATTTGTTGCATCCAGTGGGGACATAATTACAGATTATAATGACTTTCATACTGTCTTTTTACGTGTTGCATCACGCCGCCTAAACATAAAACCATGTCTGCATTTGTGATCGGAGAAATGACAAACAACAAGTGCTACTCTACACTGCCCAAAACTCACGTTTGAATCGTCAGTGGCAAATCCTTTAAATATGAAAACGTACTTACAGTCTGTGAGTCAGTGGAGTCTACTCTTCCAGGATCAGGAAACAGTCCTCCATAAAATGCGCTGGACACATCTGAATATTTGGGTTGAAGTGTTCTGGAACAGTGTTGTAAATACAACTTAACCACTGATTTCTAGTCATGTCCTCTTTTGGAAGGCCAAACAAAGTAGTTTCGCTTTCACAACGAAACACACAACGTCTTCACAACATGGCGGCGGCGGCAACAATACTACAGCGAGAATAAAAGTTACGCCTTCTTTCTTTGCGTGAACATTTGGGCGGCGTTATGCAAATCTTCCCACATAGTGATGTAGACATGTGGGGGCGTGTTAGAACGAGCCGTTTTAGGTAGGTGTGGCTGACTCTGAACTTTTATAAAGAATATCTCTTTGGATTTGAGACTTTAGTCTTTGCAACTTTACAGATCTTCTTTATGCACCAAGAGCTTGTAACACTCCAAAGAGAAATTAAAAATTGAAATCGCATCATATGACCCCTTTAAGCAACTCCAGCTGCACTGATGCTAGAAAACCAACTGTGTGTGTTTGTGTATGCTATATAGGATAAATCACAGGCATATTGAAAGTGGCTTGTGTATGCAAGTATATTTCAGCTGTAACTTGTTAAACAGGACTCCTAATCACTGATTAACGAGCCCAGATCTGTGTGTTTGGTTTGAAATGATAGTGAGGAAGTGTCCGGTTTAACAGGTTATCGGACAGGTCAGGGCAAAAGAGTCGATTTCCAGCAGATACCAGACTTGTTTACATTCATTTGCCTGAATTTCAGTTTTTCATGATCTTAAGAATCCAAAGGCTTCAGTTTATATGATTAAAATAAGCTAAATAGCTTTCCATACTTCCATTTTTGTTATCTCATAGTAGCTATTTAATGCCTTTGACATTATTCTAAGTGCTAGAAGTTGAGTAGGTGTGTCTAAATGTGTACCTCTCTAGTTTCTGAACTACACATTTAAAAGGGTAAGTGATCAGAGGCTGTTATGCTCCGTCTTCAATTTGTGTGTGTTAAAGGATGGTATGTGTGTACTGCATTTGTGAGGGTTTGTGGCTACACAAAACAAACAGAGAGAAGACATTTTTACTGTGTTTATTCATTTCTTTTACCGCATCTGTAAAAGCTCATAAACACACATCCTGAGTGTTATACCACTCAATATACAAAATATGTTACTCATTATTTTGTAATAAATATCAAATTGAATAAAAAAGCAAAAATAGTAGGACTAATTCGTAGAGTTTATGCAGTCAAAGCACTGTGTTAGTAAAAATTATCATTAAATATCATCTGTGATCATGCTAACATCAGCTTGTCATTGTGATATTGTCATTGTCATTTCCTTAAGGACCAAATATAACATGCAGTCACGTTTGCAAAATTTTGCTGATATTTTGCTGGCAAAAAGGCCCATTGTCAGTAGTGTAGCACAACTCATGCAGAAATCACTTTCAAATCAAGCAGCTTTCCGTTGGTCAACCCTGGCTAGCCATAGATATACGTATTAATAATTTGTGCAACCATCTTGAACCAGTCACGAAATCTGTGTGGGAAAAACTTAACGTAAAACGTAATTCCAGATTACATGGATTACTATTGAAACACTCAAATTTTCACAGTTAAAATCCACTCAACAACGGTAAAAGTGACCGCATCTTTAATCTGTGGCTTTCAGTGCAAAATTAAACTTTTAAGGCGACGTTGTCTTTAGGAAATTATCAAAAGAAATATTCAAGTTAGTGGTTACCACAGAAAACAATAATATCAACTTGTCTGACAGTTTACCCTGATAAAAATGCTTTTACAATGGAAGTCTATGGGGCAACAGCCATATTTGCACTATAGCCTTACATGTAGGTTATGACTGAAAGAAATCAACAGTTTGCTGTAGATACTGTCAAAAGAGCATAAAGGTGCAATGTGTAATGTTAAAGCACTGTGAACCAGTAGTGTTTATGGCAGGACTGTCTGAGCAACAAAGCAGAGATGATGTAATTTAGTACGCCAAAACAGGAAGTTAGCATCACCCTCCTAAGCTGATAAAAACCCAGTAGGATTTTTCCATTGGTTTTTGGATTATTGCAGAAAATAAGCTCTGGGGCCAATAAAAAGTTTATGATTCTTACACTTTTTGTTCAACATGATAATCGTGGGCTAGAAACGAACTTGTCCACAGTCATTCGACTTCAGTACCATTAAGCTTCTGACAACTCTTTCAATCCTTAGTTGGAAAGTTTGAGTTAGAATAGTTTGCAAGAGTGTGATACTGAACATAATGAGGCTGTGAAAGCGACTCATGAGTAGATGAGTTTACCCGTTCAGTGTGATGACATTTAATATCCCAGAATACATTTCTAGCCCCATTTAGCCACTTTTTAGCAACCATCTTTTTCAAGACAAGTAAAAGCTTTCAAATTAAAATCAGTGGGGTATTACTGATGCATTTTATGTTGTAGAATAAAACGTGAAAATATCTTGAGCTTGTGTAAACAGTAAATACATTACTGACATTAAATACCTGTTCACAAAAAAAAACATTAAATTCAGTATGACGCAACTGTAAGTGTAAAAAAGCGCATAAAAGTATAAAAATACACAAATTTTTGCACAAAAATGCTAACTAATTTCACTATATAGCAGATGAATGTTAAGGAAATTATTCATTAGTCATTTGTATGCGTTTCTGATTTCATTTGTTGAGTCTTGTGGCACAGAAATTACACACTTCACCTTTAGCTTGCGTTTAACCATGAATAATCCCTTAAAACCAAGCGAAACTGCACAAACATCCATGAACTGCGTTTCAGTTTTTGAAATCTAACAAAATGCAGCTAGGAGGTTTAAAAAACTACTGTTCAATGTGAGAATTTAAATGTGCCAGCCATTCCTAAACAAAGACTAAGGTGAATTTCTCCCTGAGAATGAATTATAGACTGGGATTCTCTTGAAACTTGCCTGTAAACACTGAGAAATTATACAGAATTTCCCAAATCCCAGAGTCCCATCATCACAAACACTCTGTTCACCATGATACTGTTGACCAGTCCGATGGCAACATATGTGCTGAACTTATACGGCACCTCAATCGCTTTCCTTCTGCGTGCTTCGACGTCACTCACAGACGCTCCATAAATTTGACAGAGCACCCGCAGACTCGCCCAGCGCACTGTCTGCCGGGTCAGAACCAGCATCCCTAACCCGACCAGGAACCGCGCCACACCGAGACCCAAGGCTGCGAGGGTCAGCGGTGGAAGGGTCACTGGAAAAGGCCCGGCAAGGTCAAAGGTCAAGCCCAATCGCTCATTCACCCAGTATCCGACTGAACATCCTGAACAGCATGCTAAAATAATGGTGGTGTCCCCCCGTGTGGTGCTGTAATGGTCCAGCTCGGGGTACTTATAGGACAGGAAGAGGGGCAGAACCACCCCCACTATGGGGGAGAGAGGGTTGTGCAGCTGAAGGTAGTCAATGGTTCCCCAGTACGGGTACGACACAGCCATGATGACGGCTGAAATTACAACGCCACAGATCACATCCTGAGAGGAAGGGGAAACATAAAGGAGAACGATTTCAGTCATTATTATCAGACGCTGTAATTCTAGCTTCATGCAGCTCAATGAGATTTATGCACGGTCATAATGACACAATAATGCAGTTTTTATGCCATTATTATGAAAAGTGTACACATTTTCTATGCATGGTAACCGCGTTGCTATGCAGTTGCTAGGGTGCTCCGAGTGGTAAATGTATTGCTATGCAAATTCAAGGGTGTTCTGAGGGGTTCTAGAATGTTGCAAAGGTGTTTCTAGTGGTTTTTGTGTTGTGCGGTTGCTAGGGTGTTCTTAATGGTTAACGTGTTGCTATGCGGTTGCTAGGGTTTTCTGAGTAGTTATGGTGTTGCTATACAGTTGCTAGAGTGTTTTGAGCGGTTGTTAATTTGTTGCTATGGTGTTCTGAGTGGTAATCATGTTGCTGTGTAGTTGCTATGGTGTTCTGAGTGGTTATCATGTTGCTATGTAGCTGCTATGGTGTTCTGAGTGGTTATGTTGCTATGCAGTTGCTAGAGTATTTTGAGCGGTTGTTAATTTGTTGCTATGGTGTTCTGAGTGGTTATCATGTTGCTATGTAGTTGCTAGGGTGTTCTGAGTGGTTGTTAATTTGTTGCCATGCGGTTGCTACAGTGTTCTGATTCATTGTTAATATGTTGCTATGCGGTTGCTACAATGTTCTGAGTGGTTGTTAATATTGTTACTAATGTTGTTAATGTGTTGTTACGCAGTTGCAGGGCTGTTGCGAGTGACTAGAATGTTTCTAGCTGGTTTCGTTATAAAACGGATAGTTCCGGTACTTGATTCTGATTGGTTGAGCCACGTTCGAAGCTGTTGTAAATGACTCTACTAACATACACCTTTGTTTACTTCTGTGTGTTGCTCGGCAACCACTTTGTTGCAACCACAACTGTTTCTGAGGAACTACATTGTTTGGCGGAAGAATACTGTTTTTATTAATATCATTACACTTTATTTGCTCTGTTTTATTTTGTGAAACCTAACTACGTATATGGAATAACCGTTTTATAAAAGCAATAAGCCCCGTGAAGCCGTGGTTTACAGTGAATTTATAACAGCTAAGGGGGTTTTAGGCAACGCCCCTTAGCTGTTATAAATTCAATGTAAACCACGGCTTCACAGGGCTTATTGCTTTATTCTAAATGGTTGTTAACATGTTGCTGTGTGGTTGCTAGGGTGTTTTGCGTGGTTATTAGGATGTTTTTAGCTGTTTGCAGGGTGTTCTAAATTCTAATTTTTTATATATGGGCAATTTAACTACAATGTGACATGTAAAGCTCCATTTAAATCAACAGGTTAACAGCTAGATTTAATGCTAAACTACTAATGTACTACTACTAAACTAATAAGATTTTGAATAATACTATATAAAAATATTTACTAGTACAAATCTTGTAATATATTAAAATATTCATGTTTTTAAATATTCCTATTAATATTATTTTTATTCATATTTTATTATATTAATATCTCCAAGCATGAGCAATAGGCCAAACGTTTGCCTCAGCATGATGCACCACTACAGCTGTGCTATATTAAAGGAACTAGAGGTAAAATCTATGGAGACCAACCAGACTATATGAATTATACAGGAGTATAAATGTTTCATATCAGACGCAAAAGCGCATGTCCATTTTAAAGTCTCTCTTCCAGACTTACCAGAGCAGAGTGCATGCCGGTATAAAGACGACTCAGACACACCAGCGCAGACAGAACCACGGCCACAATCAGTCCCAGTTCAAACGGGAACTAACATGCACAAAGACAGAAAAACAAACAGTTCAATCAAAAATGAGCATTTTAGCAACAGTCAGTTTGATGTAACTTATGTCAAAAGTGGACATGTTTGAATGTAAACAAATACAAATTAGATTTGAAAGCTATGGCAGAGGATAAGATTTTCTATAAATAATGTGCTGAATTTGATCCACTCTACACAAAAAGCTATCTTTTAGCTTCAGATGACTTGGTATATAGTGCATGAGGCATATGAACTACTTCTATGGTGTTTTTTCCTCCTAATCGGTCTTTCTAACTGAAAATTTAGTGTCTTAATCAAAACATCCTCTCATCCATCTTTCCTCATCGTCTTTTCCTTTCTCTCTCTCTATGTTGCAGTCTCCATCCATTCTGTGTGGCAGCTCTTCTCCTAATAACATCTCTTTTCTCCTGACATGTGCTCTTCCCTCTGGTTTTAATTCAGGACTCTGTTAATCACCGACAACACTGGAAGAGGCTTTACATATTCATGAAGTTGCTCCGCCCCCTCTGTTCTGTCTTACTCCATCCGTCTCCCTGTCTCTCCATCTGTCTATCTCTCCTTTCCTTTCTTTCTTCCTCTGTCAGCCGGGGGTCTTTCACAGGAAGTTAATGAAGAACGTTTCCTGAATGGGCACAAAGGACTGTGGGACAGTAGAGCTCATGTATAATTGACTGGAATGGCTTTTTTTTTTTACTCTTAAATCATACACATACAGCTCTCTGGATTCATTTACGTACAAAGAAAGTTTTTTTCAAATCAGTTAATCTTTTTCAGCTAGTAATTTAAGTAGGGCGACAATATAGTTGAGCTATTTTCAAAACTGAATGTCTGGACTAGTAACTAATTACTTTTTCTCTAATGCTCACTAGGACTGCATTTATTTGATCAGAAATACAGTAAAAACAGAAATATTGTGAAATATTTTTACTATTTAAAATAACTATTTTCCATGTAAATATATCGTAAAATGAAATTTGTTTATGTGACACAAAGCTGAATTTTCAGCTTCATTACTCCAGTCTTCAGTGTCACATGATCCTTCAGAAATAATTCTAATACGCTGATTTGCTGTTCAAGAAACATTTATGATTATTATCAGTGTTGAAAAGAGTTGTGCTGCTTCATATTTTTGTAGAACCTGTGATACATTTTGTTAGGATTAATTATAAATAGAAAGTTCAAAAGAACAGCATTTATTTGAAATAGAAATTGTATAACATAAATGTCTTTACTGTCACTTTTGATCAGTTTAAGGCATATTTGCTGATTGAAAGCATTACATTCTTTAAAAAAACAACAACAACATTACTGGCCCCAAACATTTGACAGCAGTGTAAATATTAAATTTCAATTTCAATATTTTTCATCATTATATCTCTTATTTTGTATATTTAACTTGATATATTGACTACGGTTTCAAATTAGCTTCAACACATACTCAATTTTGTTTGCAATAAAATAAAATAAAATGTAACATTTAAAAATTGGTATCAACAAATAAGCCTACAGACAAAACAGCAAAACAACACTCTTAAAGAAAGGAATGCAACTTTACAATCCACTAATAAAGTTTTATAATGCTTATATGCGTGTGCTACTGTGTGGCCTGTATAAAAGGAGCACAGAAGTTTATAGGTTTACACTTACAATTGAACCAATATTTGAAAACACTCAAGAGTCAAAGGTTTGAAAGCTGATGGATGGCACCGTCTACACCTGACGCTGATTGACAGTCATTTACTGAGAGTTCATTATAATGGCACACAGCAGATGTGTGGGCGGGACTTGGGCTGACCGATGGTGACAGATGGCCCCGCCCCTTCAGTGAACTATGCAAAAACGAACCACATTCAAAACAATCTCAATCTAGCATGTCTGACCTTCACTCTCTCCTGAGCACTGAGAAGCAGTGTAAATGAGATGGCCGTCGCTGCCATGGCGTGTGTGGACGGCATCCCGTACTCCGCGTCCACACGCGTCTCCAGTTTGACCACAGGGGGAGACGGAGGACGCTGCAGCTTTAACATATCCTTCATCACTTGTCCAATATACATCACCACCTGTAGAGAGAGAGACAGAGAAATGAGATGTACAAGGGAAAATACAAAAATCTGAAAAAAAAAAAAAAAAACCTAGAAATACGTACCATTTAGGTAGCTACTAAAATACATACTTTTATGGTACTAATATGTACCATTTTGGGGTAAATAAGGTACAAAAGTATACGTATTGGAAAGGTAGCGACCAGTGACAGCTTTTGTACTTTCTGAGAGTGTAGTACATTAATATTTTATTAATAGCCCTACATTTATTAACGTCTATACATGTCTATTTTTTTTTTCAGTTTTTGTTATTTTAGTAGGCTACTTCAAGTTAAACTACACAAAAATGAGAAATGTTGTTTTTCTGTTAGAGTTTATCGTATTTCAAGCAACAAAATGTTGTAATGGTTTAAGTTTTAGGGTTTGTTTACAAGACAAGGATTGCACTAAAAAGCGGAAGTTTTTCTTTTGTTTTTACAAAGTTTTGTGTTACAGACGACAACTTTGTCAAAAACATCCCTGTTCACACAGATCCACAAAAATGACTAAAAACGCTGTATTATGCATGCCATGACAGTAGTTTATGATTTCACTTAGAAACACTAATGTAAAGAAACATTACGGGCCTGCACACATATGCATTTCTATAGACCACAGGTGTCAAACTCAGTTCCTGGAGGGCCGCAGCCCTGCAGAGTTTAGCTTCAACCCTAATTGAACACCGGTGCAGCTAATCAAGTCCTTCAGGCTTATTTGAAAACTACATGGTTTGTGTGTTGGAGCAGGGTTGGAACTAAACTCTGCAGGGCTGCGGCCATGCAAAAACTGAGTTTGACACCCCTGCTATACACTCTTAAAAATAAAGGTGCTTCAAAAGGTTCTTCAAGCGATGCCATAGAAGAACCATTTTTGGTTCCACAAAGAACCATTCAGTCAAAGGTTCTTTAAAGAACCATCTCTTTCTTACCTTTTTATAATCTGAAGAACCTTCTTTAGCCACAAAGAACATTTTGTGAAACAGAAAGGTTCTTCAGATGTTAGCGGTTCTTTATGGAACCATTTAGACAAAAAGGTTCTTCTATGGCATCGTGAAGCACCTTTATTTTTAAGAGTGTAGACTGAACATATGATGTCACCATTTTCATAAATTCATGTTTTCGGAGTTTACACAGACACGATAAAGGTGTCATTATCGAAAAATTTCCACTCCGAAACCCGTTTTCAAAAGTTCGCATTTTCAGGCTCCCAAAATGCTGTTGTCGTGTAAATTAATGGCCAAAATGCAAAAAAAAAAAGTTATTTAAAAACGGTCATGTAACACCCCCTTAGTTAACGATAATAACCTTGGTTAAGTCATGACAGGAGATATAGCAACAATTCAGAATGAAGGCTCACTGAATGTTTGAGCAAATGAATAACTTCTCTCGTGTTAAATTTAGTTCATTATAAATAGCTACGTTGATTCCAGAGGTGAACCAATCAAATGCAGTTTGTCTAATGCTGTTGCTGTGGAAACTATATGTAAACTTGTGGAAACAGCATAAAGTGAACAAAGATATATAACAGAAAAACTAAGGAAAATGAATAAGAGAATTTGGTTTGTGTTACAACAGCTGTCCAAGTTCAATGTTATTTTGTTTCTGTCTATTCTAATCTATTTCTTCTCCTTGCAGAAGAACAAAGACCCTACAGTATGATGACTTAATCACAGGGAGTGTGTGTGCGTGTGTGTGTGTGTGTGTGTGCGCGTTTTTGTGACAAATGAGGACATAAATTTGTATAATGACAAAGGTATGACATAGGTATTACAAGGAGAAGGTGACTTTTCAGGACATTACCCCATGTCCCCACTTTTCAAAACGCATATTTTTTTTTTGGTTGTAGCACCATGACTCACATTTTTATCTGTGCACCATAATAGCCTATATCAAACAAGTTTTACTTTTACATTTTTTTAACATTTCATTTACGAAAATATATTAAAGCTTAATGACATAATTGAATTAACACTAAAAACTGATATGTTTTTTAAATTATTATTATTAGTATTAAAGTATGTTATTAAAGCAAGATTTAGGTTCAGGTTAGTGACCTGCCTTTCAGTTTAAAGCTCATTGTATATATTAAAATCAAATGAATTTTGAAAAGTTTTCTAATTTATCTATAAGATAAGACATCAAAACTTGCTTTATAAACATCTGACTGTCTAAACCAACCAGAGAAACAGGAAAATCTTGTAGTTGGGTATTTCTGTTTTTAAAAGCACAGCCTTTGGATTTGGGAACCTCTCGATTTGAATTCGCCTGAATGAAGTCTCATTTAAATCTGATTTACTTACTTCGCCTTTGGTGTCACACGGTGAACTGGCGGGTTTATAGTTGGAGTTACTGTCTTGTGCGCGTAACGTCCCGTTCGTCACCTGCTCCGTTCTGCGCCGGTGGATCGTGACCGGACCGTCCTTACCGGATCCATTGGCGTAAACGAGTCCGTTCTGACTAACATGCGAGCACGTCTCTGTCGGAACCAGGCCGCAGCACTGCTGGAAAGCGGCCACCAGCTCGGGGCTGTTCAGGTACGAGATGACCCCCAACATGGTCGCGCGGAGTTTGAGCTTCCGCAGTCCGCACCCAGCCCGGCTGAGCCCGCGTGCACAGGTGTGTTTTACAGCTGCAGGTGACAGAGCCTGAAAGTGTGCTGACGTAGACGCTCATGGCTGTTTTGATTGGCTGACATGTTTACGCACGGAAAATTACCTGCTTATTGTACCTGTCAGAGGTGGGTCATTCCTGTCTTGCAGTACCTTTGACTCTGTGCCTTTCAAAAATGAATATTCTAGTGTTACTCTAGTCATTTAGTGACGTATATTTCTGCATCTGAAAGTAATTTTCAGAAATAATCAAGTGATCAAGCTCAGGCACTTCGATCTTATTTATTTATAGCAAAAAAATGAAGAATTATCGATGATGAAGGTGTCAACTCTGTGTTCATTTTGATTTCATATTAATAAAACAAAAAATAAAAGTCTGAAATGTCATTATCAATGTAATGTTGATAATGATATTTTATTTACTTATAAACAGACCATATTCTCCTCTAAAATAAATCACAATAAAATAAATTATTGAAGTATCAGCACTAATATCTAAGTATATTGGCTTTCAAAAATAACTTACTGTACTTTTGAATCTGTGGTATCAGATTGAAAAATAAATAATTATTTAAAAAAACAAATTCAGACTCATCAAGGGTAATATGATATTACATCTTTTATGTCATTTTATCTAATGAGATGTTTAAGAGTGAGACAAATTAACTAAACCACAAAACATCACAGAATTGACCACATCCCTTGCTAAAGCTCTAAGGCCTGGTTTAGACCACAGACAGGGCTTAGACAGGATTAGGCCATAGTTCAGTTAGGACATTTAAGTAATTTTTCATAAACGTGCCTTAGAAAACACATTACTGGTGAGCATCTTAAGACAAAACAAAGGCACTGCTATATTTTAAGATCAGTCAGTGCACGTTTCTTTCAGTTGACACAGCTCAGATTTACATTTTAGTCTGGGACTATAGGTTTAAGCCTTGTCTATGAAACCGGAGGTAAAAGTTTAATTTGGATCAGATTTTTTTTTAGATATTCTTCTACTGTTCTTCTACATCTATTTTATCACTGTATATATGCACTGCATACAAACATTGTATTATTTGACTAAAATTTTATTTTGTTCCTGAAATCCACCCTAAATCCACTCTTTTTTCTGGATATTCATGATTTTTGGATCAAAGGTATCCCGATCTTACCAAAAAGTTTTTTAATAACCCACAGGGATTAATTTAGGTTAATCTGACCATTTTTTTTTTCTCAATGGCAAAAAGTGTCCCAATTTACCTGAATTCACTACTGATGGTCTGATCCAGATCAAAACCAAGACTGGATTACAATCTAATCTGAATGATCCTTTTTTCCCATTTGAACAAACTATTTTCAAGATTTGATCCAATCTAATATAGCCTAAAGCCCAATCATATTTCTTTTGAACTGGGCTCTGGTGTTTGTGCTGTTGTTTTCCCACCAAAAATGCACTTCCTGGTCCTGGAAGATATGATGTCATTTGGCAAATGGCTTTTGTTAGTTTTAGTTCAAGAGACAACAAAAAAGACTAACAGGAAACTGATATTAAGGAAAGACCTACCAATTTAAATCTTTTGTTTGATTAGTAAAAATGTACAAAATTAAGAAACATTTAAAAGATTTCTTTAAAAACTGCCAGCTTTTCGTGTCACTTTCATTTCCTTTTTTGGTAAATTGTCAATTTAATATTGTATCCGGTTTCCCTTCTACCTTTCATTGCAAAAACACTTGAACGAGTTGTGTTCAACCAAGTCTCTGCCTTTTTCACACAGAACAACTTCCTGGAAAGCAACCAATCTGGCTTCAGAAGTCTTTGGATAAAAGCGTCTTCTAAATGACTAAATGTAAATGTAAATGTATCCAATATAACAACACAAAAAGGACCCTGGGTCTAGTTGTCACAAAAATGTAAACATAATAAACATGTTTATTTATTTGAATGGAGGGTGTCTGGGAAGTCTGGGAATGAAGCTGAAATACAGGTTAGGCAAGCCTTATGTTTCTGGATTATTAGTTTCCATGACAACAACGTGAGCCAGTTGAAATGTCAAACAGGTAGATGACTCACAATGGGGAATAAACGCGGTTAAATGGCCAGAATGATACATGGAAGAAACCACAGAGAGGTTTGGACAGCAAAAAAGGAGTTAAATCTACTGACGTAAACAGCATCGTTTAGCCGAAGGCTCGTGCTGTTTGACCAGGACGCGTGTCTGATGCGTTAATTGAGGTGTGATTCCCGCCGCGTCCCGCATCTTTCCGGATCGGTTCTGGAGGAGAGCAATTAAAGACGCCCTTCAGGCGGCATTACATCACCGGAACGATACGGTTAATTATTTGCTCAAACGTGCACGGAGACTACAATAAGCGTGTTTTGTTTTTTGTTTTTAAAAAGGCCTGACACAAAAATGTCTGGGTTTAACGGCGTTCGCTGACGGGATAAAGAGAAGAAAAGGCTGCTCGCGTGACTGGCTCGCGTTCATTGTGTGGAGGATGTGAGGCAGC